AGCGTATCGAACAGAGTAGTGAGCGTCTCTGGCGAAATAAACACCACGTCCATAAGCCGTGCCTGAAAAAAAATAGAATGTTCAATTTAGAGAAAAATATCAACAAAACCATACATTCGGTGAAGTTATTTCTTATAAAAGAGGCAATTGTATTCTTCTTCTATTATTACAGCTTTTATTACCAATTTTTGGCTCCAAAGAGTGATTTTGCCTGAGCTCATTCAACGTCTCAGTGACTTGTTAGGACAGGTAGACAAATATATTAATAGAATTGTGGCCAAAACACCATTAGTCTCACCAAAAAATTGCTTTAACTTGTTAAGAGCAATCGCTGTAAAATGTTGCTTCAATGCTCCTTTTTAACACACGAAGCTTTCGAAATGAATGATCCTAGCGGGACGTGGAAGGCGTGCCAGATATTAACCACGTGAAAACCCTGCTCATCATAGAGTATGTAGCTCAATAGTAAAGCGTTGAAAAATGAAATCTGAAGATCTGAGGTTCGATTCCTCACAAGTACTTGAAATTTTTCCTTAATCCCACCCCGTAGCTAGACGAGAAAACTTCTCCTCTATTTAAAATTTCAGTGACTTACCATGAGCCCCACAGAAGCTCCTGTTGAATCCTTGTGTGTTGATATGGTTGATATTTTTAGCATCAGTCCCATGAAACAGCTGTCTTTCACTATTTCCTCCAGAATCTTTATATATTTTCTGCTTTCGTACCATGTAAGACTGATACAGATGAGGATTCTGTACGCGTTCAATCTTCTGAATATTTAAGGCACCGGCTGTAGCTTGAAACTTACGTACCACATCTTGATACTCAGGAGAGCTTGGGTGCAGTGGTACTTTATGTACAGTGGAGTCATGGCTGGGCATTGGTGTCCAGTGCTTTGGCAGAGCAATTCCTACAGAAAGGACCAAAAGATTAGAATGTTGAAATGAAAACCCATCGACTGAAGTTAAATTTCAACATCCAAGAACATATTCAAGGTAAGACACATTCAAGATCATCAAGAAAGCTCAGTGGGGACATTTAAGGACAGCTTTTCTGAATATCCCCTTCCTGTATTACATGTTTATTACCTTAAACGTCCTCTGGGACATGAAGTAGCTCTTCGTCCTTTCTTAAAGCTTATCGAAACATCCTCTTCAAAAGAAATGCATAGCAACTAACCTTCATCAGCACCCTTCACCTTTCTTGTCAGTGTTATTTGTTCAGCAGACATTTGTCCACGTCCAGAGTTTTTGTTCAAGTCGATGACAAACTTGTCTCCTCGTAGAGAAACTTGCACTGTGTGCTCGTCTTTGCTATGGGCCAACTCAATCTTGGCATTTGCTTTCGGAGCGAACGCCATTTGTATGCCTTGTATTTCATAGCTCCACTCTATGTTCTTTGAAACCAACTTCGCTTGTTCTTCCTCCTGCTTCCTCTTCGTCCTCTCCTTGATCTCTTTCCAGATCTCCCCGACTATTCCAGGAACTTCGGTTGGTCCACCACGAACGACAATGCGATCAACGTCATCTTCAATTTCAAGTTTGACGTCACGGTCTTTAGCCTTTTTTCTCAGGATATCTTTCTGCTTATCGGAAAGCTGACTGACGATTTCATCTTCGACTTCTTCCGTTGTACAGGCGTCAGAGAAACCTTTCTTCAAGGACTCCACGGCTTTTCCCACGCTCACCTTGTCTTTGCCGATCACAGAAATTTTTACAGAATGTTTATTACTTTGGCCTGGTGCCTGCCTACGTCCACGTCTTCGGGTTTGCCTGGCTACTGCATCCTCTGAGTCACTGTCTTCTTCAATACCTCGCACCAGTTGTTTCTTCTGCTCTTGTAGAAACTCCTGCATCATAGAGGCCTGGAACACGACCACTCTTACTTTTTTAATATTTTTACAGCGGGCAATGAATGCGCTTAGTGCTTTGAACGTCAGTTGGGCTGAGTCCGCTGCGGTCAAGCCGTATCCTCCTGTGCCAACACACGGAATTGAGATCGCTTGAAAGTTATTGGCGTCCGCAACGCAAAGACCCTCCACCAAACATTGCTGGAGATGTTGCTTATCTGAGGAGCCTGGAATTATGTGAATAATATGAGGTACTCGTAAATTACCTCCGCTGGTCATTTTCGCTGTTCCAGGAGGCTGCTTTCCCAATTTGTTGCATTCTAGTTGCACAAATGGACCACTCTGTCTTGCTATGGCTTTGCTTAGGTCTCCAGCATTATTCATGTTCATGTCCGTGCTGTTGATATTCATGATAGCGTCAGTGCTGTTCTCTTGCGTCAAATCACCATTTATCACCTCGATACTGAACAGGCTAGTTAAGGTTATGCGCTGAGCCACACCTACTTGTGGAGAAAACGAGTGCCTCTGATGTTCTTGCTGAAATACCGACAGCATTGGAGACTCGAAGATTACGATCCTGACCTTGTGGACACTACGGAAACTTCCACTAAAGTTTGTCAGGGCCTTAAATATCAGGCTGGCCGAGTCCACTGCAGAAACATGGAATGCACCAGTACCAACTGCGGGAATCGAAATGGATCCAAGACTATGCGTCTCTGCCAGCCGAAGACATCTTTCAACACACTGCTGGAGGTGGTCTTTATTATTGGTGTCTGGAATTAAGTGAATAATTTTCTGCGTAGGGAGATTTCCACTGCTGGTGATCAATGCGGCTCCACCTGATTGCTGTCCAAACTGCTTCAACTCAGTCTCAACCTGTGGCCCGGCTAGCTGTTTCACTGTCTGGCTCAACCTTCCAGCACTGTCCATATTCAGGTCTTTACTTGTTATATTCACTATGGCATCCGTAGTTTCCTGGCACAAGTCGCCCTGCAAGACTTCAATGCTTACACCCGATGTCTCCACCGTTTGCTTCCTTTTAAAGAGTGTTCTGCTCACAAAATTTTTGAAGACAGAGGGGCTACTTTGCTTGGGTTGCAGTTTTTCCATCTCTTGTTTGAAGGCAGCAATTAATGCTTGATCTTGGTTAAACACGACAAATCGTATGTCCCGTAAATTAGAACCAGGGTTGGTTTTGCAGAAATTGACTGTTTCATCCAGCATGATTCTCGAGGCTGCATCGCGTGGGAAGCGCAGGTTTCCAGTCCCAATGACAGGAAATGAAATGGAGTTGGCTCCAAGCATTTCGCCTATTTGCAGACACTTTTGAACGATGGCCCTTAGCGTCTACAAAAGA